TTTACCCTTTAGGGTAGCTTTTTCACGCTTTAACGAATTAATTTTTTCTTCCATTATTATGAACTCAGATTACACAAAAAGAAATATTTTACTATTAAAATAACTAGGACTGAATCGGGACTGAATGAAGCTTCTCCACCACCTAATCCCCAGTCACCCTTTAAAAGGGGGGAGTATATAAGGTATTTCTCCCGCTTTCTTAGCTTGCCTTCGTGGTGTAGTGGTCAGCACACTCGGCGCGTATTCGAGAGGTCCGTAGTTCGAGTCCCGGCGAGAGCATTGCTCATTTTTCATTTCTACTGATTTTAAAAAATTCCGTTTGTACAGATTACATATAAGAAAAATGATAAAATTTGTATGCAAATCCGCAAACTTTACGGATCTTAAGAGCTTTCTGTGCATAATTCAATGTTTATTAGTTCTCTAAAGTTAACATAATTTTACTCTATATTTTCTAAGAACCTTTTGAGGACACCACACGTTTTATTGACGCACACCTACACAAACAAAAACAAATAACAATCTCCCAAAAAAAGGGAAAAGGAAAAACAGTATAAATTGCAATTTACGTCACGAAAAAATACCCAATTATTTTTAATTCTAATAAATCATGATAAAATTCAAAAGCAGATTGAAACTGTAGCTGAAATACATACCCATTATATTAAAAAACACGGTTCCAACAATTTATAGCACAATTTCTGTTGAGTTCGATTTCTGAGTACTTTTTGAGTTAAATAGGAATGTGGATTTCCAAATCTGTAGTTAGTTTTCTTCTATCACATCACGTTTTTTCTCTATGTACCAGTTTTCAAAGAACTACCTCTTTGGAAGTACAGGAATACGATTCTGGTGAATATCGAATTGACCCTAACGACGAAGATTTTGAAACTGAAGATAGTTCCGTTCGTAAGGGATTTGACCAACATGAGTTGAATGATTTGGCACGAGATTTCGGACTATCCAAAATAAGCTTCAGAACTGTTAGTATCAAGACTGCATAAGAAAAACTTGCTTGAAAAAGAAGCTGATGTATCCTACTTGCGATCAAGAGAAAGTGCATTTCTGCAATACTTTCGCAATACAAGTTATGATACTTCTGCAATACAAGGGATGATGGATTTGTGTATTGCCACAACCTACATGGTTTAATGGAAGAATTGAGAATTTCAGTCTATAACGCAACTCATTGGCGATTTTTCATCGATAGCTCAAAGCTGAGCTTAAAATGTGTCCTCCTCCACAATGGAAATTTATTTGGTGCAGTCTCAATAGGCAATTCAATTTGTTTGTGTGAAGAATATGAAGACATAAAGAGAGCCATTGATTTGTTGCAATATCATATGCACCATTGGATCACCTGCGTTGAGCTTAAAATAGTCTTCTTCCTCCTCGGGTAGCAATATGGATATACCAAGTATCCCAGTTTTTTTTAGAACGTGGAGCAGAAATCTTAATAAGCGTTGGGTGCAGTCGAATTGGCCGCCGAGATCTGACTTGAAACCTGGTGATCCAAACATTGTACATCAATTTCCACCTCTCCATATAAAACTGGGTCTCATGAAGCAATTTGCTAAAGCATTGCCAACTGAAGTGGACTGTTTCAAGTATCTCATTTCTACATTTCCTAGCCTGTCATTTGGAAACAAAGGCCGGTTTGTTTGATGGTCCACAGATTCGGCAGCTCCTTAAAGATGAACATTTCATCGGAACAATGACAGAACTACAAAAGAATGCTTGGTTGGCATTCGAAAACATTGTCAAAGACTTTCTTGGGAATACACGAGCATAGAATTACAGTGAAATTGTCCAGCTTTTGTGGAGCTTCAAAATGCTTGGCTGCAACTTGAACATTAAATTACATTTTTTACATAGCCATCTTGATATCTTTCCGAAAAATCTTTGTGCAGTCAGTGATAAGAAGGGTGAGCGATTCCACCAGGATTTGAAGGTCATAGAGGCATGGTACCAAGGTAGATGCGATGTACATATGATGGCTGGCTACTGTTGGAACATTAAGTGAGGATGTCCATAGATTGAACACTTTAGAAAAGCTATAAGAGAAAATGTTTTGCCTTAATATGTACGTTTACCGTTTGGTTAAAAAACCTTACTATTTCTATGAACAAATTCTAATTTGCAGTAATTATGTACGGCATTATATACCCTGGTGAAATAAATTAAGAGAATTTTCATATTTGATCTGTGATCTCCAGAACTACTGGACAGATTTTAATAAAAATTTGGTGTGAACATAGGTTGATATAATACAAACAAAATAAACATTCAACAGTTATAATAGACACACATGTTCGTGTGTAGCACTCATGGGAGTATGAAGACATAAAGAGTCTGAATACACAAAGAAATGCAGACACAAAGAAGCAGTTGCAGAAGACACAAAGAAATGGGTTAATAGGGGTACAGCCATACAGGCCTCGCAGCGTGATGTCATACTGGAAATAAGGCAGTTTATCAGTGTCTGTGGCAATTGGTCCCACTCATTCAGCACTCTGTTTTCAGTTCCTGGGTGGTTCTCGGAGGGGGTTGCGAGTTGCAATTGCCCTCCCGAGAGCGTCCCAGACATGCTGTATAGGGTTGAGGTCTGGAGACCTGGCTGGCCAATCCATCCGGCGAAAATCCTCACTCTCGAGAAATTCGTTGACCAGAAGAGTTCGATGTGGCCTCTCGTTATCATCCTGTAAGATTAACTCGGGCCCACTGCACCCCGGAAAAGGCGAACATAGGGGTCCAAGACCTCATCCCTGTACCTCACACTAGTCACAGAGCCTCTGTCAAAGATGTGGAGAGGTGTGCTGCCATCCAACATTGATGCCTGCCCAGACCATTAATTGTTGATTTCGCGGACATTGGAGGGTAAGTAGCGGGTCCCTGGCTCTCTCCATGTGAAAGTACGCCGAGAATCGGTGTTTGGGCTAAAACGGGACTCGCTAGTGAACAGAACGGTCACCCATTGCTCCGTACTCCAATCACTATGCTGCCTGCACCATGCTAATCGGACTCTTCTGTTCGTAGACGTGAGTGGGACGCAAACAGCCGGTCTTCTGGTTCAGTCTTTTGAAAACGGTCACCCTTGTTACACTGGTTCCTGTGGCTGCATACAGGGCCCGAGAGAGCTGAGAAGCTGTAGTCCCTCTGTTACGCCTCGCTATAATGGACAAATAGCGATCTTCTCTGGCCGTCGTGGCTCTTAGTCGACCTTGCCCAGGCTTTCTCTCGATGGTACTCTGGAACTGTGTCCATAGGTTACACACGACGCTGGGCGTTAAATTAAACTCTCTGCATATCTGGACTTGCGATTGCCCTGCCTCTAACCTCCCCACCATTCGCCACCTCATTCCAACATCTAAACGTTGGTGGTTACTCATTTTTACCGTTCCGATGTGAATTTAACCGATTGTTGCAAGATAACACCAAGAAATTCGCCAAGGTGTGCTAGCGAACGCAATTCGTCTTTTACCCTCCACGCGCTTATAAAACCTGTTTTTCTGTTGGCTTAGTCTACACACACGTGTACGCTTACGTATTTGCCGTACAAAATATGACTTTTTATCTAGAAGTAGTGGTTTTCCCTTCAGTTCAGTTCTTTTCATGCAATTCCATAAAATATGCAAATTCTCTTAATTTATTTCACCAGTGCACATTACATACTATTCTTTGTAAACAATATATTTGGTAAGCTGTTACGCCTCGCTATAATGAACAAATAGCGATCTTCTCTGGACGTCGTGGCTCTTAGTCGACCTTGCCCAGGCTTTCTCTCGACGGTACTCTGGAACTGTGTCCATAGGTTACACACGATTACGTATTTGCCGTACAAAATATGCCTTTTTATCTAGAAGTAGTGGTTTTCCCTTCAGTTCAGTTCTTTTCATGCAATTCCATAAAATATGCAAATTCTCTTAATTTATTTCACCAGTGCACATTACATAACTATTCTTTGTAAACAATATATTTGGTAAGCTTATAATATATTTTCTCCCTTCTTTCTGTATGCTTTTGTGGTGTAATTGGAAGCATACTGAACGTGTATTCATTAAAAAAAAAAAAAAAAAAAAATTATTTCTAGAAGTGACTGCCAGATTAAAAGGGTGGTGGATGATAACTTGTCACCACCAGGATTTGGCGACTAGGTCCCCTAATCCACAGTCGCCTTTTAAAAACGGCGGTATATAAGATATTTTCTTCCTTTTTTCCGCATGCCTTCGTGATGTAAGTGAAAACATGCTCGGCTCATATTCGAAAGGTTCAGGATTCGAGCCCCGGCGAGGGTATTGCACATTTTTCACGTCTCCTGCTTAAAAAAGAAATAATAATAAAGACACTACAAGCTTTATTTTTCTTTATATGCATATTTTGTATTACTTTTGAGACAACGAGAGGGTATCCTGTAGCTTAAAATGCTGACGTGGTAGAGGAAAACTGAGGTTATTTTTGGATTCAGAGGCCAAAAGTTAGAAGAAATTTGGCATTGATTAGGTTCTTTGTCCATAACATCTATTATAATTTACGAACTGAAGGAACAAAGCTTTGCCTCTGTTATCTGATTACTGTCTTTTTCAGAGTATGTCAGATACATTTAATCTAGTTTAAGCAGAAACAGAGTTGCCTTTTCTAATACAGTTAAATACTTTAATTAATTTCATTGAGAATGTTACTTAAATTCAAAACAAATATAAATATATCGTTACTTATTCAAAAATAAAAGCTCTTTCCTCTTTTTCTTTCCTATGTTTTTGTTTTAAAATTTCGCAGGTTCTTATAAACGGGTACTCAACTGCGAGATATATACTTGTTAAGTGAAATAAAATTTAGTAATGGCATTAAATTATACCATGATTCATTTTTAAATAAAGATATCCTGGAATGAAGACTAGAATTGTAATGAATGCTCTTTGACTTAATTGTTTGATTTAGCTTTTCTTGCTGCTTAAAATGAAAACAATTTTCAGAACTGATTAATAATCATAGCAACTTACCGCAATCTGCAAAAGTTGCCTTTCCTAAAACAACATCAGGGCTGCATATTTGAGTGGCTGCAAATAAAAGAAAAAATAACATTTTGAAAACTTTCCTTCTTAAATAACTGTTAAGCTTTGGAAACTAGTAAAGGATTTATATGTAACAGTTGTTTAGCTGAAATAAACCTTTTCATGTGACACACATTATTTTTTGATTCTACAAAGAATTATCTGAAAACCTATATCAATTAAAGACTTTGACCTTTTTATCTCCTTGCTACTTTTATGCAACAGAATATAATGATTGTTAGAAAATTATCTGCAATGTCATAGCTAGTAAAAATTCAAGTAATGAAAACGTGTGCTAGCTCAATTAAAAAAAAATATTCCTAAATAAGTAAGGTAACTTACTCTGTTGCCCATTCTTTTGCAACTTTGAGATTCTGCTTTTCATTTTATACAAAATGAAATTATATTTCTTATAATGAAGATTTCGGATTACTATGGGGAGAATTTCCTATAGTTAACTTTCTGACCCTAGTAACTTCGCATTTAAAGCTTTATGTAATAAACTCATCTAAAATTTGAGTTGTATACTAAACGAAAACGTCATAAAAAGAGGGTTTTTTTAATTTTTTTTTTTTTCAAATAAAAAATGCTTATCTCTTTCCCATACCTTTTTAGTAAAATAGTACTAAAAGAAATCAAAAAGTAAGGAACCTACAGGCAATAAATTTAAAACATATCTAAAATTGAGACACTTTTACACAATTACAGTAAAGTTTTACTAACAGATAAGCTTAATTTAAACACTGTCCTATCTTTTCTTTCATTTGCATCACATATATTCGCTCGAACTGGAAAGTTATGTAAGTTAAGAATACGGAGAGAGAGAGCTTAAAAGTTAATCATGCTAACTGTAACCTACGCCTTGCGGAATAAAAGCCTCCGAGTTGATTATGGGAACTAAAACCAGTCTGTCTGGAGAGAAGGGCAGTTATTGTAATACTGCTTTTATTTTGGTTTGTTAGATTATGGCAAAGCGAGGTTATCTGCCAAAGTGGAAAGAGGCCTTAGTGGAAGACTGTCTAAGGGAAACTGGATGGTAGCCACGTTACACATGAAGAAAACCACAGAACGCTCATGCAACCAGCCCATGCTTTTCGATATCTGAATCTGGGTCGAACTACCAGTGTTCAGCGACTTTACCACTCGACCGCTGGTGAGCCAGTTATTGTTCCCGTTTGCTACTTGAAGTTTGTAAGTGCTGATCAAACTGGTTGATTTTATGCCAGCTTCCCAGAGTCCACCCATATGTCTCATACCTGGAACATTTAGATGCCATTTAATGCCATTATCACCCAAATATCTGCTAAAATTTTGGTTATAAGTTGCAGATCTAGCAAGCCTTTCAAATTCCATAAGTTTGCGTTTTGCTCCAACAAAATTGGAACCGCAATCGCTACATATATCACTGCTTTTGCCCCTGCGGAAAATGAACTTCTTAAGAGCTGCAATAAAAGCATCTGCTGAAAGATCATTTACTAATTCTTAAGTGAATAGCTCTTGTCGTAAAACAAACAAAGAGAGCTATATATATATGCCTTGAATAACCTAGAGCCTCGACCCTTATTTGCTTTAATTTGAAAAAGACCTGCGTAATCCACTCCACAGCGCAAAAACGCAGGATCAGGGAAAAAGCAAATAGATGGCAAATCGCATCAATTAATTAGTGACAGATGCTCTAATTTTGCAACACTTTATACATTTTCTAACTGAATCTCTGATAACAGCTCTAGCAATTATGATCCAATATTGTTCTTGAATGCAAGATTGCATGAGTTATGGACCTGCATGCAAAAGTATTTCATGGTAATGGCTAACAATGAGATGAGTTAAAATGTGCCTCTTTGGCAGCAAAATGGGATGCCTAAAGCCATATGAAAGGTTTGCATGTCGCAAGCGACCGCCCACCCTGAAAATACCTGATGTGTCTAAAATTGGATTTAAAGATAAAATTTTGCTTGTACAAGATAATGATTTATTTCTGCTTAAAGTGTTAATTTCATTCTTAAATTCAACATATTGCATTAATTTAATTAACACATGCATAGCTTTAATTAATTCACTAGTTTTTAAAAATCCATTTACCTGATCTGAATTTCTACGGTTATTTACAAACCTCAGACATAATGCTATAACACGTTTAAGTGTAGTGAGAGAAGAATATTTATAAAATAAATCATGAGCGTCTGTCAAGTGACTGGCAGCAGTTGTTGACTGTAAAGCACATCTTTACTCGGGCACAGAATCATTCAGTAGTGGTGCAGATAATGCTGGCTGAAAAGGAAATAAATCATACAATAAATCTGGACCACGTAGCCACAATGAAGTAACCAGTGCTAATGATGACACACCACGAGTGCAAGATCAGCATGATTAGTATTTCTACTCACATGATGCCACTGTACAGGAGGAGATAATGTCTGGATACAGTCTGCTCTGTTGGCGACGAAGGTCTTCCATCGGCTTGCACGAGATCCTATCCAGGCTAATACAATAGTGGAATCAGTATGCAAATAAGCTTGTGATATAGGAGTATTCAACGCTTTACAGGTGAAGTCCATCAATTTAGTCAACAGGAATTCTCCACAAAGTTCCAATCGGGGAAGTGAGTGATATGATTTTTAGTGGTGCAACTCTTGTTTTGGCTATCACCAACTAAACTGATTTGTCTAGTATCTAACATAGAGCGATAATAAATTGCAGCGGCGTACGTCTTCTCTGAGGCGTCACAAAACCCGTGCAGTTGAAACTGGTTATCTGATTCAACCAACAAGAATCGTGAAATTTTGATACTTTTAATAAATAAGATACTATCTTCTGTAAGTTGTTTCCATTCACATGTAATATCTGGAGGAGCCTTTTCATCTCACTGCAACTGATGCTTCCACAATCTTTGCATGATCAATTTATAGCGAACCGTGATCGGTGCCAACCATCCAAGCGGGTCGAAGGTCTTTGCGATTATTGAAAGTAGTGTTAGTTTGGTTAAGACCTCAGGATACGATTGATGAATTGACTTTGCATAATAACATATCTGAAGATGGATGCCACAGGATATCTAACGTTTTTACAGTATCATCATTGTCTATGTTTAAGGAAACATTTGATAAGCACAAATCTGGATTAATTGAATTCAAGACTTCATTGCTGTTAGAAGCCTATTTTCTTAAAACAAATCTTGCACGTGACAACATCTGATTCAATTGCATTTGTAATTCTATAGCTTCAGTAACTGAACTGGCTCCGGACATCAAATCATCAACATAAAAGTCCATAATGCATGAGCTGGTAGTTCGGTCCGAGGTTCGAATCCCGCGAACGGGCTGGCTGCATGGGCGTTTTCGTGGTTCTCCCCATGTGTAACGTGTATACGAGCCAGTTTCCCTTAGAATGTCCTCCACGAAGGCATCCCTCCCCTTAGGCAGATAGCCCTAGTGTGCTTTGCCGTAATCTCAATAAACAAAACAAAATACACACACACACACACACACACACACAAAAAAAAAAAAGTAATGCATGTCTTAGAAGCCAAATGAAAATTAGTTGCTTCTTCTATTGCTAACTGCTGTAAACATTTTACCGCAAGGTACAGTGCTGATGCAGTACCGTAAGCAATTCTAGTTAATCGAAAATCCTGAATTAGTTTATAAATAAGGTGAATCGCACCCGACTATTATTTGAAAGTCTATCTTTTAGTATAATTTGTCTGTACATTTTCTCTATGTTCGCAGTTATAGCTATTCTGTGAATTCTGAAACGAATAATTAATGTTGTCAGATCAGTCTGTAACTGTAGACCAACCATCAATTTCTCATTAAGAGAAATACCGCTAGAAGATTTTACAGAACCATCAAATACCACTCGAAATTTATCATCGTTTTTATCCGGAACTGAATGGTGCGGAAGGTAAAAAGTAGAATTAGCTGGAACATCAATTTCATTTTCTGGAATCAATTCCATATGACCAAGACCAAGTTGTTGATAGTGACTGGAAAGAGATTTATTCTCAATAAATTGACGTTCAGTGTTTTGTAAACGATGTACAGCAACATCCATAGATGACCCAAGTTTACTGCTAGATCTACGAAATGGAAACTTAACAACAAATTTACCTGTTGAGTCACGAGAAAAATTCCGCTTGAAATGATTTTCAAACTCAATTTCTTCCTCTGTGTAAGGCTTTATTTCTAAAATTTCTTCTGATTTCCAAAAGTTGTCAAGCTGGAACTGAACATTGGTACAAATAGCATGATTAGATATAATTGTTTGTGATACACATTTACTCTTGCCGATAATGACCCAGCCGAATATTGATTCCAAGGCTGTTAACGAATGACCCGGAACAGTTAAACGTCCATGAAGCATTATCTCGCCAATACGTTTGCGCCTAAAAAGAATATCTATTTGGCCAGGCTGGAAGCAATTGTATCTGCCAACCGCAAGTGTTTAAAAGCTGTCAAAACAGATCTATGAACTTGATATTGAGGAAGGTCACATGTGATCTTGGTATACTTAATGCATTAACTGAAATGCTTGCGTTTTTATAAAATGGAGATGTTACTTGTAATTGAACTGAACCTGAAACCTTTCCAATTTTTTACGATCTCAGGCCATTCACACTTACCTTTGCACTAGTAGGCTTTAGCTGCAATAAATTTATACAATGCTCCCGAATAAATGAGTCCTGGTTACCTGAATCAATTAGCATCCTGCATTTTTGTAAATCACCATTAATATCTTTAACATAAACAACGCATGCATTGTTATTAGCAATCTGGCATCACCATTAATATCTTTAACATAAACAACGCAGGCATTGTTATTAGCAATCTGGCAATAACACTGCCTGCGTAAGAGGCACCGTGGCGTTATTGCTACTAATAGCAGAAGTTCCATGCTCCATGGGTGTATGACATTTCTCATCATTTGAATTTTTCGAACATAACACTGTATTATGTGGCTTTGAACAAGATTTACACATGCCTACACGACATTTAAAAATGGGATGCGTTTCACTATCTTTCAAACAATTAGCACATAATTTATTCCTTTTAATAATATCCCATTTTTCTTTGATAGGGAGTTCTAAATAGCTATCACATTTAAATAACTGAGAATGAGAATTACAATGAGCGCATACATTA